TCAAATAAATAAATAAAATCTTTAAAAAAAAAAAAAAGAAACAGTATCTTCTCACTGGCTGAGATTCAGAGTTGACAGGGGTTGAAATAATAGGTTTTTCTTGTTTGTGCTGAGGGAGATAACACTGATAGTAAAGAATATGCTGTGCCCAGTTTCCTCCTCCTTATCCCATGAGTGATATTGACCAAGAGAAATGAACTGTTCCAGGATATGGAGAGTCAATTGAAAGAAAAGCTTTCAATTCCTGTCTGTTTCTCTGCACAGTGAACTAGTATAACTTGTAAAAGTGAAGATCTGTCACCTATTCAAGTACCGTTACCAAGTTTGGTGTGTCACTTTTTAAAAGCTGGAATAAAATTTTTGACTACTTTTGACACTTGCGGATATTTTTACAGATTTCTCCACATCGTAGAGATTGTGTGGGAACGTGAACCAAAGCCCTTAGGATTGGACCAGGGAATCCAAAATCCAACAAGTCCAAAGGGCAAAGGTGAGCCCCAAAGTGGAAGGAGAATGGCAAGATCCAGGGACTTGGCATACATGCAAGAGAAACAGAGCAAGATGAGAGGCAAAGGAGAATGTGCACTCAAAATTTCAGTTAGGTGTCTATGGCTTAATGCATATCACATCGACGAACTGGGCTGGCTCAAAGGTACTGGGTTGGGACTGAAACCAACCCTGTTCTAGCAAGCTTTTGAGAAAGAAACAGGGATCTGCTAGGGGCACTGTCTATACTCAACCCTTTCATCATTGTAGCTGGGGAAACAGACTCATCAGCACCATATGGATTCACTTTTCCTCCCTGACTGATGGTTCCTTTGCTTCCCACACAGGCTAATTTAGACTGGAAAGAATCTATAATGTGGGAGGTCTTTATTACTAAAAATTAGATCCAATAAAATGCAGATGTCCTGACGGTATCCACAAACAAGCTGTCTTTGAATAAATAACCAACTGGAGTAAATGTATTTATGCATCTATATTAGAACAACTGGCAGATTTAAAACTGAAGATCTGTTTAAGATCACAATTAAGGAAAATACAAGAAAACAAGCCACTGGAATTTTTAAGGATGAGGTTATAAAACAAAAGTGCTAGTGAATCCATATGTTACTAAAAGGATAATCACACAATTATTTAAAATAAAACATTTATGCATGATATGAACATTGCCCTAACAAAATCACTTTTCTTGCAAAACTGTTCTATCATGAAAATATTTTCATGTCTCTAATCTAGATTTTATATTACTATATTAAATAGGAAATACACAGCTATCATGATGAATATATACTTTATTAACATTAAAATACTAAGGCATTTTATCTGCATTTCATTTTTCTCTGACAGAATGTTAATTTTTTTTTTTTTTAAGATTTCATTTATTTGACAGAGAGAGAGAGAGAGAAGAGCAGGGGGAGAGGGAGAAACAGGCTCTCCACAGAGCAGAGAGCCCAATGCGGGACTCGACCCCAGGACCCTGAGATCATGACCTGAGCGGAAGGCAGACGCCCAACCGACTGAGCCACCCAGGCGCCCCCAGAATGTTAATATTTTAAATGTAAATATTTTCTTTTTTGAAAAATGCCTGCAAGATAAAATTTAGGCTGAGTTGGGCGCCTGGGTGGCTCAGTTGGTTGAGCGACTGCCTTCGGCTCAGGTCATGATCCTGGAGTCCCTGGATCGAGTCCCGCATCAGGCTCCCTGCTTGGCAGGGAGTCTGCTTCTCCCTCTGACCC